CCCCCCTCCCCCCCCAATCCCCCCCTCAATCTGGCAGCTCATTTGTGCTCCTGGTGGCAATCAGGGCAATGATGAGGGGAAGGGAGTGGGGCTGGGGGAAGCTGGGCTGGTGTTGCCTTCGGGGCTGCAGTGACAACTGGGGAATGTGGTGCCCTTGCCAGCAGCCTCGGGGACAGGGTGGCACTGCCACCACGAGCTGGGGACACCAGGGAGGGTGTGAGAGCCCAGACCTGGGGGGTCAGTGAGGGGACTCCCTGTAAGCACCACGTGTGGGTACAAGGTGCTGGGTGGGACCTGCTGGAGCTGGACTGGGTGAAAGATGAGCCTCGGGGTGAGCCCAAATACCTCCTTTTCTCCCCATCCACTAATCACACCTTGGGGATGGTTTTAGGAACAGGTTGGGGCAGGACCTGACTTTCTTCCCTGTCCCCTTTTGAGGTGGTGGCCCCAGCCTGGGACACCCCACACAGCCCCCAGCAATCCCTGTGCCCCAGGGAAAATACCCAGGGCAGAGGAGACCCCCCTGCAGGGCTGGGAACAGCTCTGGGGTCCCCAACACAGGGAGGACATGGAGCTGTTGGAGAGAGTCCAGAGGAGGCCCCGGAGATGCTGGGAGGGCTGGAGCAGCTCTGGAGCCAGGCTGGGAGAGTTGGGGTGTTGAGCCTGGAGAGGAGAAGGCTCCAGGGAGACCTGAGAGCAGCTTCCAGTGCCTGAAGGGGCTCCAGGAAAGCTGGGGAGGGACTTGGGCCAAGGGCAGGGAGGGATGGGATGAGGGGGAGGGATGAAAAGTGGGAGAGGGAGCTGGAGGTTGGAGCTGAGGAGGGAATTGTGGAGTGTGAGGGTGGGGAGAGCCTGGGCCAGGTTGCCCAGGGAAGCTGTGGCTGCCCCATCCCTGGGGGTGTTGAAGGGCAGGTTGGATGGGGCTTGGAGCAGCCTGGGCTGGTGGGAGGTGTCCCTGCCTGTGCAGGGGTGGGACTGGATGGGCTTTAAGTTCCCTCCATCCCCAACCATTTGGTGGTTCCATGTCCCCCTCCCGCAGCTGCCTCAGCCCCCCCTGTTCCCCACTTCCCTGGACCTCCCTGGGATCAGGTGCCACGCGGGGGCCTCCAGGTGCCCACGGCGCTGGAACTCCCGCGGTGCCGGGTCCCGCTCAGCACCCACGGCCACGGCGAGCGGTGCCATCTAGTGGATCCAGCTCGGGAGGCAGCTCAGCCCCAGCCCGGCCTCCTCCTGCAATGCCAAGGCTGAATTTTCCCCTCCAACCTCCCCTGGGCAGGAGCCAAGAGCCCTCAGCCCGTGCCAGGCCAGGACACAACTTTCCAGCAGCCCAAAAAGTCACCTTTTCCACCAATATCAAGTCCCTCCAGGCTGTGCTGGGGCCTGACGAGGGGCTGGGGATGATGATCATGATGCTGAACCTTTTCCATCAGGCCCCACCTTCCACTCCTCCCAAAAAAAAGCAGCACAAGGAAAAGCTTCAGGGTGTCAAACGCTGCTCCTGCAAAGGAGGTGCCTGCTGGAGGAGGTGGCTGGTGGCAACCAAACCCCCCCCCAGACACAGCCCCTCAGCTCTGCTTCCTCTAAAAGCAAGAAAATAGGTCTTAAAAAGCATAACCAGCAGAAAAAACAAAAGGTGGTGGTGGGTGAGATGCAGCAGCTCCCAGGGGTTGTCCCAGCAGGTTGAGCTGCAGCTTGATCCCCAGTCATTCCCTCAGGGATATAATCATAGGCCTCAGGAGATGTGATCATAGCATTTAAGAATTAAGTGTGTCTGAAAGTGGCCTAAATTCCCTGGGAGTTGATGTCTCAGCATCTGACTCAGCTGCTTCCAGGGAATCAGTTCCAGGCAACTGTTCCCATCACCTTAAGCTGGTTCCCACCTAACGTGGTAATGGTTCCCATCACCTTAAGCTGGTTCCCACCTAACATGGCAATGGTTCCCATCACCTTAAGCTGGTTCCCACCTAACATGGCAATGGTTCCCATCACCTTAAGCTGGTTCCCACCTAACATGGCAATGGTTCCCATCACCTTAAGCTGGTTCCCACCTAACATGGCAATGGTTCCCATCACCTTAAGCTGGTCCCACCTAACATGACCTAACATGGCAATGGTTCCCCTCACCCTATCACCATGATAGCTTCCTACCTATCATGGCAACTGTTCCCATCACCCTAAGCTGGTTCCCACCTAACACGGCAACAGTTCCACTCACCCTAAGCTGGTTCCTACCTATCATGGCAATTGTTCCCATCACCTAAAGCTGGTTCCCACCTAACATGGCAATGGTTCCCATCACCCTAAGCTGGTTCTGGGCTAACATGGACACAATTCCCATCACCATAAGCCAACTCCTGGTTAAGGTGGCAACAACTCTCCTTGCCCCAAGCCAATTCCCAGCTAAGATGGCAACTACTCCCCTAAGCCACGGGGACACCCTGCTCCAGGGTCAAGGTGCTGTGGGAGATGCCACCAGGCAGGTGAGGAGCACAGAGCTGGGTTAAGGAGAAAGAATCACCTTCTGTTTTCTCATATATCTTTATTTAGGTTAAATGAGCAGAGCTGGGGAGGGAGAAGGTCCCTTTGCAGCTTTTAGATGAGACAGGAAAGGGAAGAAAAACCAAACCTACACATGAAAACCACACAAACATCACTTTCCCAAGAGAGGATGGACACAGTAGCTGCCAAGAGCTCAGGTACCATTAAGCCACCTCAAGGTGCTGAGGCAGCTACTGAAGGAGGGATGGAGATTCCTATTTGGGTACCTCCCAAGAAGGTCCTTTGTGGAGCAGGTGGAGACCTGGTGCTCGTGGGGCTGGGAGGAGGCCTGGGAACAGGAGCAGCTCCTTGCCCATCACATGGAAGGGGCTGGAGAAGGAGCTTTCATGGAGGAGAAAGTGCTTGAGAAGCAGCTGTGGCCAAACTTGGTCATTAAGCCACAATTTAAACCTAATTCATCACCAGAGGAACTCAAGGGGGGGACAGGGTTGCTCCAGGCACCAACGTGGTCCAGAGGAGAGGAGAGGTCCCTGCTCTGAGGCTCTCCTGGGGCCTCTCCTCTATTTCTGCCCCAGCCTGGCTGGAGAGCAGGCACTTAAATTCATTTTTAACTCCCAAAATGCTCCTATGGCACCTTGATCTCCTGGAGGGCAGCCCATGGGGACCTTCACCAGCCCTTATTGCCTCTGGGGGAAGGATGGAGAAGATCTAGCCTAATGCTGTGATTCCCACCTTTTCAGTGGGAGGAAAATATATTAAAATACCTTTATTTCATCACTAAAAAGCCATAATTAGTGTCCAGAAACCCAGAGTGTCCCTCAGCAGCCACCTCTGAGCATCATAGGAGCCAAACAGCCCAAAATACCCACCAGAAAAAATATGTTTAAAGCTCCAGGGGCTGCGAAAGCTGCAGAAGCCACGTCCTTTGGTGCCAGCTCAGGGGGGCTGGGGGCTCTTAGGTGGCCACCAACCCAGTTTGGGTTGCCCAGGGCTGAGCCATGAGCCCTCCCCTCTCCCCCTTGGCTGTGGGTGCTGAAGCATCTCGAGCAGAAAAGCTTCCTTAGCAGCAACTTTCCCCACCAGGGGGACATGCTGGCCAAGGACCACCCAAAACCCCTGAAGGTGGTTCTTGGGCAGGTTTGTCACCCCACCCCCAACTCCCCATAGCTTTCCCCAGCCTGTTACTTCTTGAAGAACTTCTTGTTGAGGAGGAAAATGAGCAGGTTGACGTTGACCTTGGCCTTGTTGAACATCTTCATGACAGCAACGCCCTCGTACTGCAGCTGCAGCAGGTCCTGGGGGAGAGGTGACTGTCACCACCAGCCAGGGGATGGGGTTGTCTCACCTTGGGCATCACCTTCAGGAGCTCCCAGGGGAGCTGGGAGTTGGATTTGCATGAGGACACAGAGCAGGGAGACTCCTGGCAAGGTTGTCCCCAGGCAGGGCTCCCCATGGGCTCTGATCTCCCCCAAAAGCAGCCAGGTTTGGAGCCACCATCCACCCCTGGGGTCCAGGACATGAGCAGATGAGCCAGGGCTGTGCCAGTGTCCTGGCTTAGAGATGTCCCTTCCCATCCACCCCCTGGGCCCCCTCCCCCAGGTTGTCCTGGTCCCCAGGAGGGGTTCCCACCTGGTAGTGCAGCTGGAAGTGCTCCATGTCAATGCCCAGGAACTTGGCTGTCACCTGGAACCTGCCTGGGTCCTGGCAGGGGCTGATGTCAAAGATCACGTTCTTGAACCTGCAGGGGCAGAGAGACACTCAGAGCCCTGCTGGAGCTGGAAGGGACCTCCAGAGATGACCCAGTTCAGCTCTCCCAGTGCAGCAGGGGTCACCCAGGGCTGCATCTGGGTGGGTTGGGAATGTCTGCAGAGCTGGGGGCTCCACAGCCCCTGGGCAGCCTGTCCCAGGGCTCTGCCACCCTCACCAGGAAGAAGCTTTTCCTCATACTTCAGTGGAACTTCCCGTGGTCCAGCTTGTACCCATTGCCCCTTATTCTGACACTGGGAGCTACTGGGAAGAGCCTGTTTCCATCTTCCTGCCCCCACCCTGAGATGCATCCACTGATAAGGTCTCCCCTCAGCCTTCTCCTCTCCAGGCTGATCAGTCCCAGCTCTTTTGACCTTTCCTCACCAAAGAGATGCTCCAACCCCCCCAGTCACCTTCATCACCCTCCCCTGGACTCTCTCCAGTATCTCCCTGTCTCTCTCGAACTGGAGAGCCCAGAACTGGTCCCAGCTGTGGCCTCACCAGGCCAGAGCAGAGGGGGAAAATGACCTCCCTGGACCTACTGGCCACACTCTTCTTTATGTAGCCCAGGATTCCATTGGCCTCCTTGGCCACAAGGGCACATTCCTGGCTCATGGATCAGTCACTGTCTATCAGGACTCCAAGATCCTCCTCCTCCAAACTGCTCTCCAGCAGATCCACCCCTCACCTCTACTGGTGCTTGGGGTTCTTCCTTCCCAGGTGCAGGACCCTACACTTGCCCTTACTGAACCTCACGAGGTTCTTCTCTGCCCAGCTCCCCAGCCTGTCCAGGTCACCCAGGATGGCAGCACAGGCCCCTGGAGTGTCACCACCCCTCCCAGTTTGGTGTTATCAGTGAACTTGCTGAGGTCACATCTGTCCCCTCATCCAGGTCCTTGATGAACACTGTGAACAAGACCAGACCAAGTACTGACCCCTGGAGGACACCACTGGTTTCTGGCCTCCAGCTCCACCCTGACTCTCTGAGACCTGTCACACCCCAGCTCTCCATCCACCCCACTGCCCATTCATTCATTCATTCATTCATTCATTCATTCATTCATTCATTCCCAAAAGGACCTTCACAGCTTAAATGCAACCAAAGAGCAGGTCACCCACCCTCAGCACACACAAAACCAGACCACAAACCTCCCTCTGAACCTCAGCTCTCATGTTCTCCCACACAACCCAGCCCAGCCTCCTGGGGACAGTGGGGGGTCCACACACCCCCTCCTCCTGGGCTAGTGTCCCCTGCCTGCCCCAGCTTGGTGCTGCAGCAGCTCGTGGCCCAGGGGCTACCTACTGGCTGTGGGGCAGGTCCTCAATCTCCAGCAGCACCCCCTTCTCCAGCAGCTGGGCTGCTGTGTAGTGCAGGGGCTGCAGCTTCTTGGCCTTCCCACTGACCCTGGAAGAGAAGGGACCTGAGCTGGTCTCCAGACATGGGCTACAGCTCAGAGCCCAAACATCTCCAGGACTCACAGCATGGAGTCATGAGATGGTTTGGGTTGAAAAAGGCCTTTGAGATCACCCAGTCCCACTGTTCCCCCAGCCCTGCCCAGTCCCCACTGCCCCAGGTCCCTCAGCACCACATCTTGGAAACCCCTCCAGGGATGGGGACTCCACCCTGGGCAGCCTGGGCCAGGGCCTGACAACCCTTCCCAGGAAGGAATTGTTCCCAGGATCCAACCTCAACCTCCCCTGGGCAACTTGAGGCCCTTTCCTCTTGTCCCATCCCTTGTTCCTGGGGAGCAGAGCCCGACCCCCCTGGCTCCAACCCCCTCTCAGCAGCTGCAGAGCCAGAAGGTCTCCCCTCAGCCTTCTTTGCTCCAGGATCAGCACCCCCAGCTCCCTCAGCTGCTCCTCCCAAGTTCTCCAGCCCCTTCTCCTCCTGCTCCAGCCCCTTCCCCAGCTCCGTGTCCCTTCCCTGGACACGCTCCAGCCCCTCCATGTCCTTCTTGTCCTGAGGGGCCCAGACCTGCCCCCAGGACTCCAGGTGCCCCCTCCCCAGTCCCAGCACAGGGGGACAATCCCTGCCCTGCTCCTGTTGCCCACCCTGTGCTGCCACCAGCCAGGATGCTGGTGGCCTCCTTGGCCACCTGGGCACTCTCTGGCTCATGTTCAGCCCTTGTCAACCAACCCCCCCAGGTCCTTTTCCCACGGGCACTTTCCAGCTGCTCCTCCCCAAGCCCGGAGCATTGCCTGGGGTTGGTGTGACCCAAGTGCAGGACCCACAGCTTGGCCTTGAACCTCACACCATTGGCCTCAGCCCATGGATCCAGCCTGTCCAGGTCCCTCTGCATGAGCCTCAACCCAGCTGAACGTGGGAGTCAGTGTCCTCCAGGGACAGTCCCAGAGCTGCCAGGCCCAGTTATTTCATCTTCTGAGAGCCAGCAAGCAATGAGCACTGAGACCAGGTTGGGTCCTTACTGGGGACATGTTAAATACTTCCAACAAACACGCTCCTCAGAAGTGTGTTTGATCCCAGGGTGGTGGGTTTTCATGGAGGTTTTACTGAAGTGATGTCAATTCTCTGGTAATTGTTTTGCATCCAGAATGGTGGGGGTTGGGACCTCTGAAGATCATCCAGTCTAACCCCCTGCCAGAGCAGGATCCCCTACAGTAGATCCCACAGAACACATCCAGATGGGTTGGGAATGTCTCCAGAGAAGGAGACTCCACAGCCTCCCTGGGCAGCCTGTCCCAGGGCTCTGTCACCCTCACAGGAAAGAAGTTTCTCCTTCTGTTTAACTTGACCCTCCTGTGCTCCAGTTTGTGCCCATTGCCCCTTGTCCTGTCACTGGGCACTGCTCAGAAGAGATTGGTCCCACCCTCCTGACACCCCCTGGAGATATTGATAAGGGTTGATGAGATTCCCCCCTTCAGCCTTCTCTTCTCCAGGCTGAACAGCCCCAGCTCTCCCAGCCTTTCCTCACAGGGCAGATGCTCCAGGCCCTTGATCACCCTCGTGTCCCTGTGCTGGACTCTCTCCAGTAGTTCCTTGTCCTTGATAAACTGGGGAGCCCAGAACTGGACTCAGTTCTCCAGGTGAGGCCCCCCCGGGCAGAGCAGAGTGAAAGGAGAACCTCCCTGACCTGCTGGCCACACTCCTCTTGATGCCCCCAGGATGGCACTGGCCCTCTTGGCCACCAGGGCATGTTGCTGGCTCAACTCATTGCTGCCTTCCTGTGCAAGTTAAAATAACATCACAAAAGTCATAATCCCTGAAAAACTGTGGGAAGCCCAACGTTGTGAAATAAAAGGACTTGGTTTTGTTCTCAGAAAGAAAGAAAAACATTAGAAGTAGTTCAGCAGAATGCCTTTGGTTATCCCAAGGTGTGGAATTTGTTCCTCTGAGCCATGTGTGACGTCTCAGCTTTAGTATTTCTGGAATAAAACCTCTCCCCTTGCTCCTGACCAGATCCAGGTCCAGCATCCAGCTGCCAAATCCATGATTGAGATCAGCCGCACCCAGGATGAGGAGGTTGGAGATGGGACCACATCTGTGATCATCCTGGGTAAGGAGGGGGTGACAAGGTCACAGAATCAGAGAGTCTTTAAGGTTGGAAAAGGCCTCTAAGATTATCAGGTCCATCTGTCAGGGTTAAGGCTGAAATTAGCCCTTTTTGCTCGTCAGAGCCTGGTAATTGTGCCTTGGTAAGACAAATATTCATTATTTACCAGGCCTAAAAGAGAACTCTGGGTTCATTGCAGAATCACAGCATCACCTTGGTTGGAAAAGACCTTGAAGATCACCCAGTCCCACTGTTCCCCCAGCCCTGCCCAGTCCCCACTGCCCCAGGTCCCTCAGCACCACATCTTGGAAACCCCTCCAGGGATGGGGACTCCACCCTGGGCAGCCTGGGCCAGGGCCTGACAACCCTTCCCAGGAAGGAATTGTTCCCAGGATCCAACCTCAACCTCCCCTGGGCAACTTGAGGCCCTTTCCTCTTGTCCCATCCCTTGTTCCTGGGGAGCAGAGCCCGACCCCCCTGGCTCCAACCTCCTCTCAGCAGCTGCAGAGCCAGCAGGTCTCCCCTCACCTCCTGCTCTCCAGGCTGGACACCCCCAGCTCCCTCAGCTGCTCCTGCTCACACTTGTGCTCCAGCCCCTTCCCCAGCCCCGTTGCCCTTCCCTGGACACGCTCCAGCCCCTCCATGTCCTTCTTGTCCTGAGGGGCCCAGACCTGCCCCCAGGATTCCAGGTGTCCCCTCCCCAGTGCCCAGCACAGGGGGACAATCCCTGCCCTGCTCCTGTGGCCACCCCAGTGCTGACACCAGCCAGGATGCTGGTGGCCTCCTTGGCCACCTGGGCACTCTCTGGCTCATGTTCAGCCCGTGTCAACCAACCCCCCCAGGTCCTTTTCCCACGGGCACTTTCCAGCTGCTCCTCCCCAAGCCTGGAGCGTTGCCTGGGGTTGGTGTGACCCAAGTGCAGGACCCACAGCTTGGCCTTGAACCTCACACCATTGGCCTCAGCCCATGGATCCAGCCTGTCCAGGTCCCTCTGCATGAGCCTCAACCCATCGATCCAACCTGTCACCTGCCAACTGACTGAGATTGCCCCCCAGGGGTTGGTGTGACCCAAGTGCAGGACCCACAGCTTGGCCTTGAACCTCACACCATTGGCCTCAGCCCATGGATCCAGCCTGTCCAGGTCCCTCTGCATGAGCCTCAACCCATCGATCCAACCTGTCACCTGCCAACTGACTGAGGTTGCCCCCCATCCCCTCACCCAGACCACGGATGAAGACATTAAACACCACTGGTGACCACCAGGTTTATCTGGGGGGGGAGGAAACGTACCTGTTGCTGGCTGCCAGGTTGTCGAGGCAGGTCTTGATGTACTGGTTGTAATAATCAATTTGCTCCTCATAGAACAAGGTCTTGGTGTTGAGGCCCTCCAGGGTCTCCCTCAGCTTCAGGAGCTCCCCCCGGCGCTGCTGCCGGTGGCGCCGCTGCTCCCGGATGTCCTGGAGGAAAGCAAAGCTGGTGCAACCCATCCAAGCACCAGAGCAGGATCACAGGTGGGTTTCGAGGTGACCTCCAGCCTCGACCTCCTCGGCGTACCTTGGCCAGCTGGTTGATCAGCTCCTGGTAGTGGTGGGCAGAGGCCACCAGCCCCAGGCTCTCCAGGCGCCGCAGGTTGCGGATGATCTTGCGCTTCTTCTCCTCCAGGGAGAGGTGCCTGGTGGCAGCCAGGGAGGGGTTGTCCCTCAGCTGGGCAGGGCTCTGGGCATCCCACAGGGCCTGCCTGCCCAGCAGCTGCTGGTGGGAGGCTTCCTGGGGAGGAGAAGAGGGAGAGCCTGGGCCCTGGCTGGAACACGACGTTGGGAGATGGAGCCACCAACCCCTTTCACCCACACACACTTGGGTATCAGCCTCTTCTGCCCCCAAAACACCCAAAATACTCCCAAAAACTTGAGCTTCTTCTGGAAAACGCAGCCCCAGCCACTGCTGGAGCACAGGAGCAGCGTCCAAGCCCACGAGAGGAGCAGGGCAGCTTTTCCTCAAGGAGCCTTCTGGCTCCTTCCCAGCAGCAGCCTCACCTCGTGCTGGGAGGCTGGTGTCCACAGGATCTCCTGGAGGGAATCTCCTGGCTGGGACTGGATCACATCCACCAGCATCTGCTTGGTGCTGGAGACCAGAGGAAGAGAGGTCAGGTGTGTCCACCACAGACCATCACCCTCCTTCCATCAGAGGAGCAACATGGTTTGGTTGCCTCCCAAGGCTTTCTTGCCCCCCGTTGGGCACCCCAACCCCCAGCCAGCTCCTCTGAAGCCCCCAGAGTCCATCCTCACCTCAGCAACAAGCTCCTCGTGTCACTCTCCTCACTGCTGGCTGCTGGCACCAGTTTGCTGGTGAGGGTGAGGGAGATCTCCAGTTTGCTGAGCTGGTCAGCACTGGTGTCCACTGTGTTGGGAATGTTCTCCCCTAGGAGGACAAAAAGAGCCCTGGTAGCCACGTGGGGCTCAGGAGGGCTGGATTCCCCATGTATAAAGCCATCCTGATGGAGCTTCATGCAAGAGAAGCATCCTGATCTCCATCCTCCTCCTGGCAGGGTGGGTTCTACCTACCAACAAGGGACTGGACCATAGGAACCTCCTCAAGATCCTCCAGAAGCTCATGCAGGGGATCTCCATGGTGTGGTGCAATGGAGTCCTGGTGCTCCAGGAGGAGCTGGATGGTGCAAGGGAGGAGAGTCAGTGGCCAAGGGACAAGTAGAGAAACAGGGAGCAAAGGTGGGAACTCGGCACCCAAGAGGGAACTACAAGGTTATGAGGTTCAGGGGAGGACAAGCTGAGGAGAACCTGCAGAAAGAGGAATCTTTTCTTTCTTAGAAAAGAAAGCACCCCCATGCTGGGGGTAGGACACAAAGGAGGGTGATGAAATGCAGCAGGAAGCCCAGGTGGTGGGAGGAGAAGAAGTGGAACCTGCTTGTTGGTGGATGAATTTCATGCCCCTACCTTGTGGGTGTTGATGAGCTCCCCCACCGTGATGTAGATGACAGGTTTGGCCACTGTCACCAGCTCCGAGTACTTATCTATGTTAAACCTCTCTTCTGGCTCTGGGACACAGCAGGCAGCAGAGATGAACTTCCTGCAGAGTCATGGGGTGGTTTGGGTTGGAAGGGACCTTCAAGATCATCCAGTCCCATCCCTGCATGGGCAGGGACACCTCCCAGCAGCCCAGGCTGCTCCAAGCCCCATCCAACCTGCCCTTCAACACCCCCAGGGATGGGGCAGCCACAGCTTCCCTGGGCAACCTGGCCCAGGCTCTCCCCACCCTCACACTCCACAATTCCCTCCTCAGCTCCAACCTCCAGCTCCCTCTCCCACTTTTCATCCCTCCCCCTCATCCCATCCCTCCCTGCCCTTGGCCCAAGTCCCTCCCCAGCTTTCCTGGAGCCCCTTCAGGCCCTGGAAGCTGCTCTAAGGTCTCCCTGGAGCCTTCTCCTCTCCAGGCTCAACACCCCAACTCTCCCAGCCTGGCTCCAGAGCTGCTCCAGCCCTCCCAGCATCTCCGGGGCCTCCTCTGGACTCTCTCCAACAGCTCCATGTCCTCCCTGTGTTGGGGACCCCAGAGCTGTTCCCAGCCCTGCAGGGGGTCTCAGCAGAGCAGAGCAGAGGGGACAATCCCCTCCCTGGCCCTGCTGCTCACACTGCTGGTGACAGCCCAGGACACAGGGGGTTTCTGGGTCTCTTCAGTCATCCCCAGGAACCCTCCCACCATCCTCTAGCCATCACCCCAGCCAGATACCATCTTGTTGCCCACCTGAACTTGTGGTAGGTGTTCTCCAGGTAGGAGTTGACCCCACAGAGGTGGGTGTTCTCCCCATCCAAGGCCCTGTGGGTGGCCAGGTGCTGCAGCACCTTGGCGATGGAGCCCAGGCTGCGGCGCTGGTCGGGGTGCAGGGTCACCCCAGCTGAGATGTCCACAATGTCAAAGCCATCAGGGGCCACCACTGCTGGGTTCATGAAGCGGTAGTAGAGCAGGTTCCCCACGATCTAGGGCACAAGACAGGCTGGGGAGAACATGGGATGGGTGCCCAAGGAGGTGGTAGCTCAGCTGCTCCATCCTGGTGGGACCACTCTTGGCCACCACCTTGGTGGCTTCTGGGGAGTCAGGGGCACCTCAATGCTCCCCAAACCATCCAGTTGAAGCCTTCAGGTGGGGCTTCAAAAGCAAATTTCAAGGGAAATGTTGGCTTAAAAACACCTTCAAGTCAAGAGGACTTGACCTTCCCTGGAGGATACTGGCCCTTCACACCCACAGATGGTTGAGCCCCAGCAGTACCTTGTCGATCTCCTCCTCCGGGGCCTTGGGGAACTTCTCAGCCAAGGACGTCCTCAGGATTTTGGCCACGTAGCGCATCCCATAGCTGAGGAGGGGGCAGAGAGAGCTTTCCCACCAGGCTTGACCATCCTGCCCCATTCCTACCACCCCATCACCCGAGAAGTGGGAAGCCCCCAGCCTTGGGTTGATGGAGGAGCCCATAGGGAGGGCTGGTGGCTGCAGCACCCCCAGCTCCATCTCCTACCCCACGGACAGCCCAGACATCCCAGGAGGAAGCCCTCATCTGAGATCATCCCAGAGCTCATCTTCTTCCTTGGAGACACCTCAACACCAGTTCTGAAGCCCTCAGAAATGGAGTGGCAAGAGCAGCCAAGCCCACCAGGGCATTGCTTGAGGAGCAGAAGCACCCACTGATGGTTGAGTTTCCCCTCATTGGCAGAGCAGGAGCTCAGTCCTGCAGCAGCCACGGAGCCAGGAAGTCCCCACCACCCAACCTCCCCTTCCAAGACCCTGCTGAAACAACCTCCAAGCCCACGGAGCTGCAGGGACCCACAAAACCACAGAGATACTCACGGGATCTTGTCCACGGAAGAGGTGATGGCAGAGACAAACTTGTCAGTCATCACAAGGAGGTTCCGGATGGAAATATCCAACCTCCTTTGCACCTCAGGGTGGCTGAGGGCCTGCTCGGGGCTGACCTCATAGGGGAGCTCACTGTGGGTGGAAGACAAGGTCCCCATCACCATCCCAACGCCCATCATCACCCTGTGGTGGGACCAAGCCTCCTGGCCCCAGGCTCTGACCTCCTCTGCCCGCTCTGTGACTCGCTCTGGTTGACCCAGGCTTTGTAGATGTCCACGGGGTCGGTGCGGATGCTGAGGGTCCTGTCCTGCAGGACCTGCTCCACGGGGCCCCCCAGGATCTGCCGCAGGGCGTTCTGCCCCCGCGCCCTCCGGTAGAAGGTGACCACCAGCTGGATCACCTTGGCATTCCCTGTCAGGATGTCGTGGACATGGTCCACCTTGGACCTGTGGAGAGATGGGACGGACGGGATGGAGCCGTGTTTGCCCTCCAATGCAAGAAGGAGAAGCCAGAGGAGAGAACTGTGTCCAAACTGCTCCAGCCTTGTCCCAGACCTGTCCCCAGCCTGGAGCACCCGTGGCCTGACCTGATCTCCTCCTGCAGGGCAGCTTTGAAGAGCTGGAGCAGCAGAAAAGCCTCCCGGGGGTTGGATGCATAGTTGTAAAGTGTGAAGATCACAGACTCCATGAACTTGGTGGACTTGTTCTGGGGCATCTGGAAGATCAGCCTGGCCAAGTAGACGGGCTGGGTCTGCAGGGGTGAGGAGCACCAAGCTGGTCTCCAGGGCCACGGGGTGGCAGGAGGCCCAGGTCCCCATGCTGCTCCCCCAGATGGTGGCCACAGCAGAGCCCCACCTGCAGCAGGTAGAAGAGGTGCTGATAGGCCTCCAGCTTCTGCCTCTTCTCCTTGCTGAGAGACTTGAGCCCCTTCTGCTTGTCGATGGACATCATCTCTGAGAGCTGCTCCTTGTTCTTCTTGGTCAGCTTCTTGCAGTGGGACACCACCTCCTGGAGCAAGGAGACAAGAGGTGTTGGTGACTGCTGGCAAGCCCTGGCCTTCATCCCAGCTTCTGGGGAGTCAGAGGCACCTCAATGCCCCCCTAACCATCCAGTTGAAGCCTTCAGGTGGGGCTTCAAAAGCAAAGTTCAAGGTGTGGTGCCAAGAAGGGGAGGTCCCTGTGCTGGATGAACTATGGCCAAGGTCCCACCAGGCCCCATTCCACACCTGCAGGGTGATCCTGTTCTTGACCAGCAGCCCAATCTTGATGTCCATGAGGTCCAGGTCACTCTCCAGCTGCCGGTGGGCACGGATCCTCTTCACCACCTCCTCCTGCAGCTTCAGCACCTCAGCCTCCTCCCAGAAGTCGTGCTGGCTCTGCTCCAGCAGGTGGGCAAAGCGCCGGACGATGCTGAGCGGTGGGTTCCTGGCATGGACTGCAGCAAGGCATGGAGATACCACCAACACTCGTGGGGAGCCCTGAGCAACCACCCCACCCTGTGCCCTCAGGCCCCCAGCATCTCGCCAAGATCCCTCCATCCCCCTTCCCAAAAACCCATCATCTTGCAGCCCCAAGGACACGATGGTGTCATGCTCTGTAACTCCTCACGTGGTGCTGAGGGACAAGTTTAATGGTTGGATTTGATGACCTTGAAGGTCTTTTCCAACTGAAACAATTCCATGGTTCCTCCCCAGAAGCCTTTGGGAACAAAGAGGGCACCAAGGGGGGACAACCAAGGGAGCAGCTCTACCTGATGCCCAGTGGCCACCAAGCCCTCATGCTTGCCATGGGGCCACTGTTGGCCAACCTGGCCAAGGAGGGAGGAGCCAGAGTCCTCTTCCCAGTTCCCTCCCTCTCCAGGGCAGAGGAACCAGCTCTTACCCAACGCCCTGTAGTCCCCACGGGCCTTGGTCCCTCGCACAAAAGCCTGGATGGTAACCACAGCCTCAACCTGCCAAGGACAAACAAGGGGGGGAGATGTTTCTCCAGAGCTCCCCCTGAAACACCCAGGGAGTGGAGAAGAACAGGACAGGCTGGGGCTGCTCACACCTCTGGGAATCTGCCTGGGATGAAGGTGTCCAGCAACCCAGGAGGGATCTCACCCTCCTTACTGGTCACTTCCCCACCAGGTCCAGTGGTTCAGACTCTGCAGCAACTCCAGAGGTTCAGCTTTGTTTCCCACAGCCACATTCCCCCTCTCCCCCAAAATTCCTTCCCCTCCAACGGGCATCTCAAAGTCCTTGCTGGTCTGGGATGGAACTGGAGAGTTTTCTCTCTCCTCACACTTTAGAGCCTGATAGTTTGACCTCCAAAACCCACCAGGCAGCTTCTCCTCTCCATCCAGCCCCATGCAAGAATGCACCAGTTTCTCCTCCTCTGCACCACAAGACCCCAGGGGGAAAGATTCAACCACACACTCAGGATTGTCCCCCTTCCAGCCCATCATCTCCCCCAGGAACTGCTTCACTCCTTGTTCCATCACTCACGTTCTGCCTGAAGTAGCTCAGCCTCTCCTGGTACCTTCTCCGGACCAGCCACATCCTCACCCCTGCTTGGATCTGGGAGAGATGGTCAAGCAGTTGGAAACTGGAAGGACTCACTTGGCCAAAGCAAGTGAGTGGAAAGGGGGAAAACCATGGGGAGGTTTGCAAGAAATACTCCCCAGCCCAAGCTCCTCCCCAAGCTTTCACATGGTGCCCCATGTGCCCTGGTCTAGCTGAAATAGAATCATGGAATGGTTTGGGTTGGAAGGGACCTTAGAGATCATCTAGATCCAATCCCCCATGGGCAGGGACACCTCCCAGCAGCCCAGGCTGCTCCAAGCCCCATCCAACCTGCCCTTCAACACCCCCAGGGATGGGGCAGCCACAGCTTCTCTGGGCAACCTGGCCCAGGCTCTCCCCACCCTCACACTCCACAATTCCCTCCTCAGCTCCAACCTCCAGCTCCCTCTCCCACTTTTCATCCCTCCCCCTCATCCCATCCCTCCCTGCCCTTGTCCCAAGTCCCTCCCCAGCTTTCCTGGAGCCCCTTCAGGCCCTGGAAGCTGCTCTAAGGTCTCCCTGGAGCCTTCTCCTCTCCAGGCTCAACACCCCAACTCTCCCAGCCTGGCTCCAGAGCTGCTCCAGCCCTCCCAGCATCTCCGGGGCCTCCTCTGGACTCTCTCCAACAGCTCCATGTCCTCCCTGTGTTGGGGACCCCAGAGCTGTTCCCAGCCCTGCAGGGGGTCTCAGCAGAGGGGACAATCCCCTCCCTGGCCCTGCTGCTCACACTGCTGGTGACAGCCCAGGACACGGGGGGTTTCTGGGCTCCAGCACGTCGTGCTGCCTCATGTTGAGCTTCTCCTGCCCCAACACCCCCAAGTCCTTCTCCTTGGCTGCTCCATCCATTCCCACCAGCCTGGCTTTGTGTTTGACACCCCCTGGTGCCTGTTTACTGAGCAGGGGGGAAATGACACCAAGCAAGCAGGTGGTGATGCCCAAGCTGGGAGCAAAGGGTGAAGGAGAAGTCCCCAAACCTTGATGGCAGCAGCCACGTTGGCTTCCAGGTAGCGCAGCCTCTCCAGGTAAGCTCTGCGCTGCTTGGACCCTCTCCAGCAGGCCTGGGCAGGGGAGAAGACAAGAGCTGCTGAGGTGCAAAGGTGCTGAGGTGTCCTGCTGGTTCTTCAGAGGGGATGGGCCAGGAGGGGATGGGGCAGGAGGGGAGAACTCAGCACAGGAGAAGAGAGGGGGGAGGGAGGGAGAAGGAAG